TGAAGACCTGCTTCTCCACTTAATGAGAGGTTCTGACAAATCTGGTCCCTTGCAGTAGCTTCACTGTCGGGAGGGCTGTACCAGACAGCCTCGGGGTCTCTGTAGATCACGTCCCTCTCTGTGCCTTTGATTAGCCAGCAGTGGCCATGCTGTTTGGAGGTGAGGTGGTGGTTTCTGTCACAGAGCTGCCTCTGGTGATGGTGCCCCACCCTGAGCTTGCAGTCTGGCCTGAAAGCTCAGCGTGATCTGCCACTTGCTTGCTCCTGCTGTGTCACCCTTCTTCTCCATCTATAAGCACAGAACTGATGGGAAGGTAGCAGACTCTAGATTGGCCCATGACGTGGCCTGGAGAGGAAAGATGGGCCAGCCAATCAGATTTGCTCCTTGGTGCTCCAGAACCAGGATTCTGGAGAAGACTCTTGAAGAGCTCTGTGGAAAGGGTCCCCAGTAGGCGGGGCCTCAGTACTTGTGTCTTGCTGTGCGAATGCTCAGCTTGTGTCGGGCAAGACACAGCGGCCTGAGACCTGTCAGAATCAGAGCCCAGGACCACCAAATTTGGGAGCCAGGGGGAAAATGTTTAGTCAGTGTGTCTTAAACCCCCTGTGTGCTTCTGTAGATCTTTTTTAGAAGTGGGGAGGCAGAGAGAAGTCAGAGGGAGAAGTTCCCAGAAAGAGCAGCCCATCTTTGGGTTTGAGCAAAGTGAAGTTGGGGACTTTCTCTGGATTTAGGGCCGTTCTCACATCAGTGTGCATCAGAACCACCTTGGGGCTCACTGAAACCCAGGTTTCCCGCCCTCCCGGAGTTGTCTGGGGTGCAATGTGCAGTTCTAACAAGTTCTGGGAGGAGACTGCCGCTCCCAGGTGGGGGGCACACAGAACCACTGATGTGAGGGCAAGAGGGATGCTCCTGCCCACATACGTGTGGAGACTCCTCAGCTTACCCCCCTCTGGTGCGTTGCTCACTTGTGGCCACTGAGCACTAGTGTGAGAGGAAGGACACCTGAGCCTGGTTCAGGTGGTCACAGATGGCCCGAGTGCTCGGAGGAGGGGTTCTTGCTTCCCTGGAATTCTATTTCTCCTTCTGCAAGATGGACTCAGTAGTAGGATCTGCTTACCAGGGCCGAAGTGAGGAGCAAGGGATGATGTCTTATTAACAGGACCGATGTCCCCTGACTTTGTGTCTAAGAAATGCTGCATTTCTTTAATTTCCACATCACATAGACCACCAGACTGTGTGGGGCCCGCCCTCTTCCCTGACACCACCTCAGCATCATCCTCTGGGCCTCGCCTTTCCTGCCACCTCTACCCCCCGACCATGGCTGCCCTGTGACTAGCAAATCTCCAACCCCCGTCCTTTCCCTAAGTGTTGGTCAAAACTCCACCAACTAAAGGAGTGTTTCCCCTCAGTGCTACCGTTGGCATTTTGGAGCTGATCATTCAGAGTCCTAGGGGTCTGTCTTGGGCATGGTACAACGAACGCTTAACCACATTTTTGGGCTGTGACTCCCAGATGCCAATAGTGTCTCTCCAGTCTAGCTGTGACAATTGAAAATGTCCCCAGACATTACCAGATGTTCACTGGGTAGGAGTGGGGCAGCCTCGAGGGGCATGGTGATCACTGGAGTGAAGTGTTGACATCTGTCTTCGCTGCTCAACGTAGCCCTGTCTTGGCACCCACCTGTCCACCTGCCTGTCACTTAGGAGTTACTCAAAATTGGTTGAATGAACTAATGAATCTATGTTAATTTTCTTGAATTAATGAAAAAACCAGTCCATAAAAACTGTGTACATAAACGTGTGAGTAAAGTTGGCTGCCTGAGAAATACCTGGGGAGCCTTATAAAAAGTTACCTTCCTGGGGTCCAATCAGAGAGTTGGGCCGCAACCTTGAAATCTGGTTGTCAAAAGTGAATGGTTGAGGGCTGGGGTTGTGGCTCAGCGGTGGAGCGTTCGCCTAGCGCGTGCGAGGCCCTAGGTTGGATCCTCAGTACCACACACACACACACACACACACACACACACACACAGAGTAGATCCTGGACTCCTCAAGAAGTTAAACATTGGCTTTCTATAGGACCTAGCCAATCATCTCTGAGAATTGAAAGCAGGGACTCAGACATGTATTTGCTCATATGCAAATATCTATGGAGCAGCACTGGTCAGCAGAGCCTTAGAGTAGAACCAGCTCCAGTGTCCTTCAACAGATGAGTGGATAAATAAAACGTGTATGCATACCACCTATAGGATTCCGCCCTAGAAAGCGGAGATCCTGCGGCAGCCTGGGCGAACCTGGGAGACCTGGTGCTCCGCAAGGCCAGCCAGGCACAGAGGACACTTCTTGTGTGATTCCTTGTATGTGAGGTGACCCAAGTAATGGAGACAGAAAGTGGAACCGAGGCTAGAGGGCGCTGGGATGAGGGAGAACGGGGAATTGTTTAATGGGTACACATTTTTTTTGGGGATGCTGAGAAAATTCTTAAAGCACCTTAATTGTATGTCTAAAAATAGCTAAAATGGTAAATTTTATGTTATGTGTATTCTATCACCCACACCCAGGTGCCTTGTCCCAGCCAGGTCTGGGAGTGTGTATACAGGGAACGGGAGAGATGTGACAGATGAGATCCAATGGCCCTTTTGGGCTTTGCAGCCCGTGAGCTGCTGGGACAGACCTGACTTCGCCCACCTACTATGGTTTAGGCTGGTTTCTTGAGAGGGTGCCCCTTCCCTGGGGGTGCACATGTGACCCTCTATAGAGGCCAGGCAGGCCACCTGAAGAGGACCCCAGCTGTTGGGGACAGCTCATCTGGAGGCCACGTGTCCTGTCCATGGGGCAGCTGCTGCCCAGCTCCAGCTGGTTCTCGCATGTGGGAAGCCTGGTTGTGGGTGAGCAGTCCAAAAGCTGGGTTTGTGTGTGAAACTTGCTGGTGTTTAGCTGTTGGCAACTGGCTCATTGAGCAGCAGGCAAACAAAGAAGCCACATGTGGGTCGGGCTGAGCGAACCCTGCGGGGCTCTAGTCTGCTTGGCAGTGTTCCTGGGCGCCTGCCGGCGTGGGCCTCGGGCTCCTGCCCCATCATCACACGCTGGGTGGCGTCTGAGGTCTGACACCAGCTCTCTTGGATCCTCTGAGAGTTCTTCTTGCTTGTAGTGCACCCGTGGGTGTATAGTCCAGACAGCAAGGGCCAGATCCCAGGTCCAGGAGTCCCCTCAGCCCGGGTCCTGAACCTCTGCCACCTTGCTTCTCTCTTCCCGCTGTCTCAGTTTCCTCATCTGTCAAGGGGGGGTAGAGTCCTTCCCACCACACAGAGTGAAGGTGAAGAGTGCAGGGAGATGGGGCATGGGCTCAGTCCAGGCAGGGCCAGCCCAAGTGCTCGTGTGTGTGTGTGTGTGTGTGCGTGCGCGTGTCTGTGTGGGAGCTCTAGGTGGGGGTGGAGGAATGAGCATGGAGTGGGATGCACACCTGTGTCTTCACCTATGACATGGGCCCGTGGTTTCACCCTCAGCCGTTCTCAGGAACCACGAGGTCTTTTCCAGTGATGGCTGGCCATGGCAGGTGCCCAATACATACTGTTCTGTCCTTTGAAGTTTGAGGCCTTTGCCATCTACAGGGACCCAGGGAGAGGAAACTGGGCCTGGCCAAGAGAGGCAGGATGAGCAGAATGGAGATATGGCCCTGCGTCCCCTGCCTCATCAGCTCCCTTGCCCACTCCCTCCCTGGCCACCAGCACTTGAGCCGGCCCACTTGCTGAGCAGGCCTCAGCCTTGGCTCTCCAGGGCAGTGGGGATGACGGGTAGGGACCCCAGCCCTGCTCTGTGCCTGCCTCCGAATGCTCACTACCTCCTTATCCTGTCAGCGTCACGAGGAAGGCCTCCTGTCTCTAGTTCACAGAGGGCTCAGAGGAGGCTGCATGCCCAGGTGTGCGTAGACAGCTGGGAGGCCACAGGGCTGAGCCAGGCGGAGCCAGGGGAAGGGGCCCTGTCCTGGCCAGACCCTTCCTGGGAGGGCCAGTGAGTGAAAAGGCCATCACCCACCCAGAGCAGGGAGCTAGCGTTCTTCCTGGGACCCTGAAGGAGTAAAGGGCCCTTAAAATCCTGAGATACTGGGTGCCCAAAGGACCACATGAGCTATGGCAAAGTGACTGGCAGATGGTAACTGAGGGCCACTGTGGGGATGGGGTTGGCAACAGCATTTGGGTTCCTAGGGACCCCCGGCCACATGCCATAGATACCTCCAGGTCCTAGGTCCAGAGACACAGAAATGGCACCCATTGCTGTGTGCTTCTCTGATGGCTGTCCCCTGTCCCCTGGTTGGGAGGAGTGGCAGGGGTGGTGGGAACCCAGTATGCACCTCATCCACCTTCGTGTGCCCCTACACATGCCTGTTCGTGATGCATACGTGTTTGTTATATCTGCACACTGTGGTGGACAGGAGGGAGGACAGGACCTTTCAGGAGTCCTTCCTTCTAGTCTTGAGAAATATGTCCTCAGAGGCTCTGGGTTTGGGAGGTTGAGGGAGGAGGTACCCAGGACAAGTGGAAATCGAACTCTTGATCCCCACATCTGGCCCAGTTGAGGAAGGAGACTCTGTAGGAAACAGGAGGGAGAAATGAGGGCAGGGAGGTAGCCGCAGTCCATGAAGAGCGCCCAGGCCACAGGGAGAGGTAGGATGTAACAGGCCTGGCCCCTGCCAGTTATCAAGCACCCAGGGGCTGAAGGGCTGGGAGATGCCATGGGAAGAGCAGAGACGGGATGCTGGCGTGGTAGGGAAGCGGGGGGCTCTCTGCTGGGGTGGAAGGTCCCCGTGGGACCACGAGGAAACATAGACTGCACACTGGCCTGGAAGAAGCATGTGCATCTTGAGCTTGGGGTGGGAGTGGGGTCACTGGCTCGACCTAGAGCCCCCACCGCCTCCCAGCCCAGGAAGCTGGTTCAGTGGGTGGGACGTAGGGGCTGGACCTGGGACAGCACAAACATCTGCCCACCATCTTTCTCCCACCTCTGCAGGGGGCGGAGGAAAGCGCAAAGGGAAAAGCAAGAAGTGGAAGGAAATCCTGAAGTTCCCTCACATCAGCCAGTGTGAAGATCTCCGGAGGACCATAGGTAAGCCCGCTGACCCCCTCAGGCCACTGTGCAGTGTGAGTCAGAGGCGACTCTGGTAACGCAGTGTGGTCTGTCCAGGGAGCCCTTGAGGCCAACGTCTTTGCTAACGGGCATAAAGATGCAGCCAGCAGTCACTGACTGTTTGCAATGACCACTTCCCAGTCACCCTTGGCGGCAACTACTATTATTTTACTCAGATGGGGAGACCAAGGTGCAGAGTGGCTCTGTCACTGGCCCAAGGTGCACAGCTCAGGGGAGGGCAGTGGGGGGCACCTGGCTCTGAGCCCCACCTGGAGCTTTTCCTCTCTTCCTCCCTGGAGCCCGTGCACCCTGCCCTCGGGGAACAGCCTGGCTCTGGGCTCTCCTCCTCTCTTGCTGGACATGGTGATGCCCACCACGGAGCTGCTGCCCACCGACACAGCCCTGCCTTCTCTCTTCAGCACCATGTAGCCACCTCCAACGAGGGCAGGAGTTCATCTCCTGTGGGGACTGGCACAGCCAACACGCCACGTGCCCCCGCTGAGGACATGGCTGTAGGCAAGAGG